CTCAGCTGCACATGGATCATTCTCAAAAATAGACCACACCTAGAACATGTTTAAGTAAGTGCAAAGGAACTGAAGTTATTCCCTGTATATTATCAGACCATACTGCAATGAAATTGGAGATCCATAGCAAAAGAAACTCAAAAAATTTCATAAATATGTGGAAATTGAACAACACACTTCTGAATAACCAATGGGTCACACAGGAAATTAAAGAAGAAATTACACAATTCCTTCAATTAAATGACAGTGACAATACCACATATCAGAATCTATGGGACACAATGAAAGCAATCTTACTAGGGAAATTCATAGCAGTGAATATTCACATTAGGAAAACAGAGTGAGCCCAATTAAACAACGTGATGCTGAACCTCAAGCTTCTAGAAAAAGAAGAGCAGGACAAACCCAAAGCTCATACAAGGGAGGAAATTATAAAGAACAGAGCATAAATCAATTCAATGGAGACTAAGAGAACGATACAAAAAAACTGATGAAGCCAAGAGTTGGTTCTTCGAAAGAATCAACAAAATTGACAAACTTTTAGGCAACCTTAACAGAAAAAGGAAAGAAAAGGCCCAAATCCATGCAATTAGGAATGAAAAGGGTGAAATTACAGCAGACCCTGCAGAAATCCAGAGGATCAACAATACCTAGTTTAAGAACCTATATACCAGTAAGATAGAAAACATAGAAGAAATGGACTGATTCCTAGATAAGTATGAATTACCAAAGTTGAATGAAGTACACCTAAAAATTCTGAACAACCCAATATCAACAAAAGAAATTGAAAATGTAATTAAAAACTTAGCAACTAAGAAAAGCCCAGGCCCTGATGGCTTCTCTGCTGAATTCTACAAGACATTTAGAGAGGAACTGCTGCCACTACTGTTTAAACTCTTCAATAAATTGAAAGGGAAGCAATACTCCCAAATTCATTCCTGGAAGCAAGCATCACCATGATCCCCAAAGCAGAGAAAGACCCAAATGAAAAAGAGAACTATAGGCCAATCTCACTAATGAACATAGATGCAAAAATCCTTAATAAGATAATGGCAAACAGAATGCAGAA